GCAATCAAGTTAATTCAGGAAAACAGTTTTCATCAAAAAGAAAACAATTTTAGTTTTGAAAAAAAGAAAGGAAATAATTACAATGGGTTAGGAAAGTCAAGCTGAAAATACGAAACAAGGAAAAGGAAGAAGATAAAGTAAATGGAAATAATTTTGAAAATTCGTAAAAAACAAAAATTATTGCGGGAAAAAGCGGGAACAGAGATGGCAAAGAATGTTGGGAATGTGGCAAAAAAGGTCACTTCCGTTCGGAATGTCCCAGCAAAATGGAAAACCAGGAATAGTCGAGCTCTATGGAATAATCTCGACTGGAGTAGAAAATACTCTGAATAAAGAAACTTGTTTAGTAAATAATTTATTTAGTAATATCAAAAATAAACAATGTTCGAATAATTGTTGTAATAATCATTGTACTAATCAATATTTTTTCAGGATATGTTCTTATAGTATTACAAATAAACAATGTTCTGTGTATTGTCATGTTGATCAATGTAACTGTGATACTAATCAATGTTCTTTCAGAATAAAATTAAAAATGATTTAAGAGATTTTTATTATAAAGGCGAAGTAAACAATAAACCTTGTATTATTAAGATTAATACTGGCTCCGATATTTCTATTATTGATAAACAGTAATTTTGTTGAATCAGATAAATCAAAATTCTATTCCTAACACATTAAAAAGTCTTATTAAAAGAGGAAAAGATAAGTTAGATTTTCTATCTAACCAAAACGTAAGTTATAAGATTTCCTGTGATGACTGTGAGGCGAGCTATGTTGTCAGACAAAAGAAAATTAAGTATGAGGTTACATGAACATATTATATTTCTGATATTAAGAAGAATACTGGTTCCCCTACTATTATAATTGATCATCGTATCAACTTTGACCATAATTTTAGATTAATTAGAATTATTTGGAACGAAGTGAAAATTTTAGATTGCGAATCTTCGTACAAGGGATTAGTGTCTGAAATGATTCACAGCAAAAGACAGAAACAAGATCTAAAAAGAATGATACTGAATCGTTACCTGAAACTTGTTCACAGATTATTCAATCTCTTTCTCCTTCTTAACTGCATTCTTTCTCTTTTTACTTTCCTTCTTCTCACTTTCCTTTCTCTCTATTTTATTTTCTCCCTCTTATGTTCCCCTTCTTTTCTAGTTCTAGTTTTCTAGTTCAGAAACAAGATCTAAAAAGAATGATACTGAATCGTTACCTGAAACTTGTTCACAGATTATTCAATCTCTTTCTCCTTCTTAACTGCATTCTTTCTCTTTTTACTTTCCTTCTTCTCACTTTCCTTTCTCTCTATTTTATTTTCTCCCTCTTATGTTCCTCTTCTTTTCTAGTTCTAGTTTACCACTTCAACCTTCTTGTTTTGATATGTGTACTTTATCTCTGAGTATATTTTTTATTATCTTTGAGTATTTTACAGAAATGACTATATTTTCAATCTCATCGCATTGCCTAAGAATAGACGACGTTTATATTATGACACACAATAGAAGGTATTTATTCTCTTTGATTTAGCTGTTACTAAATTAAATATCTGTAATTTATGACGGTACATCACACAATTTCAATTCGTATTAATGACTCTAATGTACATTTCTCATAATATTAGATTACTTTTTTATTATTTTATTTTTATTTTTATACCTTGCTTTTTAGTTTGTATTTCTCTTATTAGATTTGATTACTTATTCCTATTACAATTTTACATTATATTTGTACTTTTAACAGAAACAAGTATATTTGTCTACAATCTACATAATCCAGAGGAATACATGATTACAATATTTATTTTAATATTAATTTTATATTGAGATTGATATTTAATACGGCGATCGAGAACGAATTAATTTTTATATATCTTATTTATGTAATATTTCCACTGTTATTTTTGTTTACATTGATTCATGGATTGAAACATTTGGTTTTGTTTTGTTTGTTACTGGCAAATTAAAATTTTATATTTTAACTAAATGTTTATTTATTAACGGTTTCAAAATTTAATTTTATAACGATTAATCTTAGGCGATTAATCGTAGCCTTTGCGTTTTTTAAATTTATTGAGCCTTATTACTATAGTTTAAAATAGATAACTGCAATATTAAATAGCCTATGGGAGAACAAACAATTATAAATATAAAACTTTAGTAAAGGTTCGACTTATTTTGTAGAACTCCCAATGTTAAATGTGTCGAAATAAATGATAACTGAAATTCTAGATGTTAATTTTCTTAGATTGCTCGGTTTACAGAAGATTTTTTTATTTTACTTTTCTCAATACAATTACCGAGAGCAATGTTGAATTCAGTTATTCTCGCATTGAAAACGTTACAACAATTCTGTCGAACTTAACATCCTTATTCGAAGGAAGTTCTCAATATTTAGATTAGAACCCAAAAAAGAAAACTTTGTCATTTTTTTGATTGAATTTCGCGACGTATTTTCTAACGAAGTTATTGCAGGAAATTGTAAAGTTGGCGAACATGTGATTAAGATAAAGAATTTTTCTCCCATAAAGCAATCTCCTCTCTATTCCGTTACAAATGCGAAAGGAGGTGAATGAAATTATTAAAAAAAAGAAAGATCAAAGGGTTATCGAGAAATCTACTAGTTCATGGACGTTACTAGTAGTTTCGGTAAAAAATAAAGATTGAACTGTGAGATTTTGTGTGGATTTTCGAAAAATAAATGCAGTAACTATAAAAAAACTCTTATCCATTTCCTTGAAATGATAATATTCTCGACCAGTTATCAGGTAATATTTGGTTTACTACTTTAGATTTAAAAAGCGGATATTGGCAAAATAAAAATTCGCCCGCAAGATAGGGAGATAATGGCCTTTTCGGTCGGCAATGTGACAATTTAAAGTTATGTCTTTCGATTTGTGTAATACTCCTGTAACGAATAATAGAACAAATTAAAAGAACATCTCTAAAAAATTTGCTTGATTTACTTTGATGATGTAATTATCTTTGGAAAAACTTTTGAAGAAATGCTTAAATTGTAAACAGATTTTTCAACGTTTAAGAGAAGTAAATTCAAAAATTAATCCAAAGAAATGTGTTTTTTCTTTTAGCAAAGAAATTAAATATTTAGATTATGTGATATTAGCATTAGTATGGAAATCCGGAAAAAATAACTGTTGTGAGGGGCTTGCCGATTCCACAAATCAAAAAAACATTTAAGAAGCTTTCTCGGGTTTTCTTTTACTTATTAGTAAATTTGTGAAAGAATTTTCGTCTTTGGCAAAATCACTTTATATGTTAACAGAAAACGAGGCAAAGTTTGTTTGGAAGGAAGAGCATCAGGGTTCGTTTGATGAATTAAAGTAGGTCTTGACTTCCTCTCCGATTTTGGCTTTTCCTAAAATAGAAGGGGAACATATTATAGTCTTAATGTAATTGATATATCGAATCAAGAAATTGGGGCAGACTTATTACAGAAACAAGAAAGGCAAAGAAAAAAATGACACATATTTTGTATATAATATTTTAGTCGAATCTTGAACAAAACCGAAAAAAACTATTGTGTGACGCGCTGTGAACTTCTAGCTATAGTGCAATCAATAAAATCTTTCCATCATTATTTATGGACAAAAGTTTTTGATATGTACGGATCATGTCTCGCTCAAATGGTTAATGTCTTTAAAAACTTTAAGGGCCAATTAACGCGTTGGCTGGAAAGAACTTCAGCAATATGATTTTCAAGTTATTCATTGCACAGATTTTTCTCATAAGAACACGGATAGATTATCGAGGTGATTATGCATGCGTAGTCAGTGTCATTATTGTATGAATGTAGAATTAAAGGAAGCCACGAAACAGGAAAGCTGTGTGGAAAGAATTATCCTAGTTGAAGATAATTATGAGAATTGGCATAAAGAACAAATATTAGGTGTACAACTTTGCTTCCGCCGTTTTCCTATAGATGGTTTTAGCGGTAAGTAGTGGTCGAAATAAATAGATCATAGACGTCATACAATAAACTTGGGCATCTGTCAACATAATCCCATAGAAACATTAATCGATTTGTGTCTGCATCATAAAGTTATTCTCGATTGAAAATGTCAGTTTACGAGCCAAATTCTCGTCATTTGCGGGAGGTTTTAATTTTTTGCTTCAATATGAAGAAATCTGCGGCTGAGGCTCATCGAATGCTCTCAAATACTTATGGTGAGGCCGCTATTAGTGAAAGAACGTGTCGTGAGTGGTTTCAACGCTTCAAGGTCGGTGATTTTGACGTCGAAGACCGGCA